TCCAACCGTGCTAGTGAAAAACAATGGCCAATGTTTAGCAGTTGAGGAGCCAAGAAGGAACCAGCAATGGACACAGAGAAGTATCTGCCAGTGAAGTATTTAGAACATTCAGAGAATAGTGAGAATAGTGATTCAGAAACCAAAGAACAAAGTGTGTCAATAGGGTAGAAGGATGAACAGTGTCAGATGCCAATGATGGGCCAAGTAGGATGAGGTCTGAGGACAGATCATATGATTTGACAACAGAGAGGTCACTACTGACTTCCATGGCCATTAGAGACAAACACCTGAATGGTAATGGCTCAAGATCCAGTAGAGAGGACAGTTAATGATGCAGATAAAGGAAATTACCCTTGAGTAAGTGAGAAGGACTGGGGTCTAATGAGGTTGATTTTGCCAGAAGCAGACAGTTCACAGTAACACAATGTAGGTAACATGGGCATATATGCAGGGGGAGTGGGTAACTGTGCCTGTGAAGTTCCCATCTGACTGCATGGATTTTCCCAGTGGAATGGAAAGTAAAGCTGACAGCTGAGAGTAAGGGCAGGGCAAGACAGGTGGTGCCAGAGGTTTATTTTTATTTATTTATTTATTTTTATTTTTTTATTTTTTTGAGACGGAGTCTTGCTCTGTAGCCCGGACTGGAGTGCAGTGGCCGGATCTCAGCTCACTGCAAGCTCCGCCTCCCGGGTTCACGCCATTCTCCTGCCTCAGCCTCTGGAGTAGCTGGGACTACAGGCGCCCGCCACCTTGCCCGGCTAGTTTTTTGTATTTTTAGTAGAGACGGGGTTTCACCGTGTTAGCCAGGATGGTCTTGATCTCCTGACCTCGTGATCCGCCCGTCTCGGCCTCCCAAAGTGCTGGGATTACAGGCTTGAGCCACCGCGCCCGGCCTCCAGAGGTTTAAAGATGGAAACAGATCTGAAGGATTTGTGTTCTTTCTTCACCATGCTGCTGGGAGGCAGGAGGTCCCAGGATAGAGCACCACACTGCCCCAGGTCCTGGGTAAAAGGGTTTCCCATATGTTAAAGACATAGCTCTGCATTTCCTAGCAGGGCAAGCTGCTTTTAGTCTGAGTCTTAGCTTCTGCATCTGTAAAGTTGCTTGCTATAAAGGTATCAGCTTGGCAACCTCAGAGGAATGTTCCAAAGAGAAGCCAGGGAATAACTTCCGTGATAGAGGATCAGCCAACATTCAGCCAAGCTGAATACAAGGCACCCCTAGGAAGGGGGAAATGCTACTGTGTTTACTCTTATTTTGTAGATGAGCACACTGAGGAACAAGGAGGAAAAGTGACTCGCTCAAGGTCACAAGATCTTCTTGAGCCTGCACTGTCCATCTCCTCTGCTGCACAGTACCTCCCAATCTCCACGCACTACATAACTCACTGGGCTCTACAACATCTTCGAGTGAGACACATCACTTGCTCCATTTTAAAGCTGAAAGAATTGAACCTAAGGCCAAGCCTTTCACCTCTAAGAGGATGGTGTGTTTAATAACCTAGCTGTTACTACTGGCTGGGTTGTGCAACCCGTGGAAGTCACCCTGCAGCTAGATTTCTGCGGAACCTCAAAGGCAGGGGGTAGCGCTAGGGCTCAGCTGGCAAGGAAGCCCACAGGCCACTAGAGTGTGACATGGGAGCGGCATGGCCTGAGCTGTTTAAGAATCGGAGAGGAAGCCTTGCCTATTTCGGTGTCAAAACACTGGAGTTGAGGGTCACTCAGTAATCACTCATCTGGGCTTTCCCAAATTGTCCTGACAAGAACACTTGTCAAAACCATGTTTCTGCCCAGGCGTTCCCTTTCCTAGCCCCTGCCCCCAAATTAAGTTCTTCCCAAGGGAATGTGAGTGGAAGGAATCCGTGATTTCTGTCAGTTTTTAAAAGACAGGATCGTTCTTCGCAGTCTCTTCTTCCCCCAGCTGCAGGCAGAGGCCTCTAGGCCCTGGGGGATGGAGGTGTAAGGCGGAAGGGGCAAGTCTTTGCAGCAGCATCTGCAGGACAGCCTTTCTCCTACCTCTTGGTGGTTTGCTGGCAATCTTTGGTGGTCTTTGGCTTATAAAATAATCAGTCCAATCTCAGCCTCAGCTTTCATAGTAAGGGATCAAGCAATAGTTTCTACTCAATGTTCCTCATACCCAGAGTCAAGCATTCTGCTATGCTAACGCTAATATTATGGCTAAAGAATGTTCACTTTCTCCTATGTTGGGAATCAGTTGTACTGATGTGAGGAGACATTCAGAACTACTGTGAGGATATTTTAAACACTTGTTAAATCAAGTTTAGCCTAAAGCTGCTTCCTTATATATTTTAAGTTGAGTTTATAGGTTTTCTGCACATTGTGAACTATGACAAGTGGAGGCATAAACAGACTAGCCTACACTTGTGCCAATCACAGAGTTTTTGCCAATCAAATGTAGCCAACTGTTCGAACCATGTTCAAATAAGGCATGGCAGAGCTGTAACCAATGTTTCTGTACCTCGCTTCCATTTTCTGTACCTCACTTTCCTTTGCTGTCCAGAAATCTTCCATTACGTGGCTGCGCTGGAGTCTCTGAGCTTGCTCTGGCTCAGAAAGCTGCCTGATTTGAATCATTGATTGCTCAATTAAACTTTTCTTTTTTTTTTTTTTGAGACAGAGTCTTGCTCTGTCACCCAGGATGGAGGGCAGTGGTGCAATCTCGTCTCACTGCAACCTCCACCTCCCGGGTTCAAGTGATTCTCATGCCTCAGCCTCCCGAGTGGCTGGGATTAGAGGCACTCACCACCATGCCCGGCAATTTTTGTATTTTTGGTAAAGACAGGGTTTCACAATGTTGGCCAGGCTGGTCTCGAACTCCTGACCTCAAATGATCTGCCCACCTCATCCTCCCAAAGTGCTGGCATTACAGGTATGAGCCACTGCACCCGACCCAGCCAATTAAGCTCCTTTAAATTTAATTCAGCTGAAGCTTTTCTTTTAGTATACTGAACAGGGGAAACTGTTTAAAACCACATCATATTTCTCAGAGGTTAATACTTAAATATAGGATGGAAGGATCAAAGTGTAACTATTTTCATTTTTATCATTTGCTGTGCTAAGTGCTTTCATGTGGATTATTTTACTTAAACCTCTTAAAAGTCCTGTCAGATAAAGGGTATCATACTCATATTTACAGATGAGGAAACTGAATTTAGAAACTGGTATAGTAGTAAAACAGCAAAACTCTTCTGCTATATTCTACTGGAGCAATTAAAAATTATGCCTTAACATTTTTCTAATTTTTATTTTGTAAAATATGTGCCACTGGATTTCTCATTTGGTTGATTTAGGGAGACCTGTGTACACTAAAGAAGATTTGACACATTAACAGACTACTTGACTGATTTGACTACATTTGTTTGGCAAAAACATACAGCAGCTCAAAATTGAAAGTTTTTGCAATATATGTATATTTTTCTTTGTTTTACCTATGGGGATAATTTACAAAGGCAGTTGTTTCCAAATACCTTCTTGTGAAGCTGAATGCCAAGCAAGTAAATATCAACCACCGATGAAGAAACCAGCTGAGAGACCTTAGACAAAGTAAAATAATCTGAAAAGATGCCTGCACATATTTTGCAGTTTAGACTCTACGCCTTGTAGAGTTTTGAGCTCTTTTTTCTTGATGTTGTGTTAGCAATTTAATCTTTTTTGGTGCTGAGCTTAGCTCGTTGAGATGAAAGGGATAAAGGGATTTCATTTTGTACTCAAGGAGTTCACACAATGGAAGCTGGAGGCATTTCCCAACACTGTGGTCAATGCTACAGTCAGGGAACAAGCAAGTCTCAAGCAGTTTTGCAATCCCACCTAGGAACAGAAGACAGCAAGAAAAACTCACTTCGACCCCCTATCATTCCATCTCCAACCCGACCAGTCAGCACTCCCCACTTCCCAAGCTCCTACTCGCCAAATTATCCTTAAAAACTCCGATCCCTGTTTTTGGGGAGACTGATTTGGCTATTAAAACTCCCTCTCCAGCACAGCTGGCTCTGCGTGAATTACTCTTTCTCTATTGCCATTCCCCTGTCTTGATAAATCAGCTGTCTAGTCAGCGGGCAAGTGAACGCCTTGGGCGGCTACAGCCTGGCCTGTCCCATCCCATCCAATAGTTCCCATCTCTTCTCAGCTCCCTCTGTAGTTTCTCTTCCTCCACCTGCCTTTTCAGTGTTTCCCAAGACAGAGGCGACTCAGTTTTTGTTTGTTTTTTTGAGACGGAGTCTCGCTCGGTCCCCAAGGCTGGAGTGCAGTGGCGCGATCTCGGCTCACTGCAAGCTCCGCCTCCCGGGTTCACGCCATTCTCCTGCCTCAGTCTCCCGAGTAGCTGGGACTACAGGCGGCCGCCACCGCGCCCGGCTATTTTTTTGTATTTTTAGTAGAGACGGGGTTCACCGTGGTCTCGATCTCCTGACCCTGTGATCCGCCCGCCTCGGCCTCCCAAAGTGCCGGGATTACAGGCGTGAGCCACCGCGCCCGGCCGTGACTCAGTTTTATCCAGACCGCTCTGTGACTGAACACCCATTTTCTTTTCCTCTTCCAAAAAATATATGTAACATGTCAACTAGGTACAAAACAGTATCTCAGGAATCCACCATCCAGTTAAAAATGGAACCTTATCCTTACCGTGCCCCTGCAGAGACCCCAATACCGCGCATTTCCCCCATTCTTTTGCTTTCCTCAAGTTTTACCACGGCCTCGCGGCCGCAAGTAACAAAAGAGGCAAGGGGAAGCAGCTGGGCCGGCCTTTAGGTTTCTGTACACAGGGAGATTTCCCATGGCTAGCATTTATGGAAACAACTGCTGGTATGTGAAAAACAGGTCCCTCACCGCCATCACGACGGCTGGAGCTCATACCCGCCAGCATGCCCGCTGCCCCGACCCTCCCATTTTCTCCGCCCAGCAACTCTGGCCGCGCAAGCGCAGTGGGATCGGCGGGAAAGCGTGGGCACATGACGTCATCAGTCAGCGCGGACCAGCCAGGTGCACGTGACTACGGCCTTGGCCGCGGAAGGTGGCAGCCGTCACGCCCTTCTGGCCTCTCCATCCCCTGTTGCGGGAGACCGCGCAAGCGCAGTGAGTACTGCACAGCGTCGCGGGCCAGTAACGTCATCCGACGTTGCGGACCGTGTGTGTCCCTGCTGCGCCAAGTAAGAGGTGGAGCCTGAGGCCGGGGAACAGCGGGCGGCATGAGCTGCTGCAGGCTCTTCCTGCGTACCACGGCCGCGGCTCGTGCCTGCCGGGGTCTGGTGGTCTCTACTGCGAACCGGCGGCTACTGCGCACCAGCCCGCCTATACGAGCTTTCGCCAAAGAGCTTTTCCTGGGCAAAATCAAGAAGGTAACGCGAGCCCTGGGCGAATCCTTGCTGTCTGGCTGCCGCTTTTCATCCTCAGCTGCAAGATTGGTGTTCAGCTTTGTCGGATTCCCCAAACCTGCCAGAGAGACACACCCTGCGGGCGAGGCGTGTTAACACTCTGGATTCCTGAGTTCCAGGAAAACCTTCCCAGAGAAAGGGTGGGACATTTCCAAGACGGGGGACCCTTGGAAGTGTAAATTTTGTCAGGGGAATTTGGAAAACTCTAGGCTAGGTAATTTACAAAGCAGCCTTCATCTCAGCTGGTCTGGTCTCGAAATGTGCGGGGCTTCCTCTCTTATTCCTAAACAGTTTAGACCGTGTCCCTCCTCAGTCACCTTCCAGCGCCCTGGGGCTTCCTTCCCCAGTTGAGCCGTAGCGCCTCTCCCTGCCATTGAGGTTCTTTAGAAATCTGGCTCCAAGATGCTTCCCGGGCGTCGCACAACCCTGCCAGTAGTAACAGTTTGGTTATAAAACACTCATTGTCCTCTTAGAGTTGGAAGACTTGGGTTTAGTCTTGGCTCGTTGACTTTGAAACTCAGTTCTTTTTTTTGAGACAGAGTCTCGCTCTTGTCGCCCAGGCTGGAGTGCTCACTACAACCTCCGCCTCCGGGGTTCAAGCGATTCTCCTGCCTCAGCCTCCGGAGTGGCTGGGATTACAGGCGCCCGCTACCATGCCCGGTTTTTTTTTTTGTTTTTTTTTTGTTTTTTTTTTTTGTATTTTTAGCAGAGATGGAGTTTCACCATGTTGGCAAAGCTGGTCTCGAACTCCTGATCTCAGGTGATCCGCCCGCCTCGGCTTTCCAAAGTACTAGGATTACAGGCGTAGCCACCACTCCTGGCCGAGACTCAGTTCTTTCAGCCTTAAAATGGAAATAGTGTTGAGTCTCCTTCACAGAGGTGTTGTAGAGCCCCAGTGAGATAAATGGTGCATGGAGAGTCTTTTTTTTTTTTTTTTTTTTGAGAAGGAGTCTCGCTCTGCCGCCCAGGCTGGAGTGCAGTGGCCGGATCTCAGCTCACTGCAAGCTCCGCCTCCCGGTTTCACGCCATTCTCCTGCCTCAGCCTCCCGAGTAGCTGGGACTACAGGCGCCCACCACCGCGCCCGGCTAATTTTTTGTAGTTTTAGTAGAGACGGGGTTTCACCGTGATAGCCAGGATGGTCTCGATCTCCTGACCTTGTGATCCGCCCGTCTCGGCCTCCCAAAGTGCTGGGATTACAGGCTTGAGCCACCGCGCCCGGCCGGAGAGTCTTCTTAAACTGTAGAGTACTGTGCAGCAGAAGAGAGAACTGGCTTCAACACTTACTAGTCTTGTGACCTTGGAGCTGATGGTTTCACCTCCCTGTGCCTCAGTGCCTTCATCTACAAAATAGGAATAAACACATTTCTTGCTTTTTCCTTTGTGTTTTATTTTATCTTCTAAGGAAAGCAACAGTATACTTGCTATTTCCTTGCTATGCCCTGCTTTGAGCTTGGCTGAATGTTGGCTGATCCTCTATCACGGAAGTTATTCCCTGGCTTCTCTTTGGAACATTCCTCTGAGGTTGTCAGGCTGATCCCTTTATAGCAAGCAACCTTATTGATGCAGAAGCTAAGACTCAGACTAAAAGCAGTTTGCCCGGCTAGAAAGTGCAGAGCTATGTCTTTGACATATGGGAAACCCTTTTACCCAGGACATGGGGCAGTGTGGTGCTCTATCCTGGGACCTCCTGCCTCCCAGCAGCATGGTGAAGAAAGAACACAAATCCTTCAGATCTATTTCCATCTTAAACCTTTGGCACCACCTGCCCTGCCCTTACTCTCAGCTGTCAGCTTTGCTTCCCATTCCACTGGGAAAATCCATGCAGTCAGATGAGAACTTCACAGGCATAGTTACCCCCTCCCCCTGCATGTGCCCATATTATCTACATGCTGTTACTATGACTGAACTGTCTGCTTCTGGCAAAACCAACCTCTCATTAGACCCTAGGCCTTCTCACCTACTCAAGAGTAATTCTCTCACCTACTCAAGAGTAATTCTTTCCTTTCTCGGAATCATTAACTGTTCTCTCTACTGGATCTTGAGCCCTTACCATTCAGACGTTTGTCCCTAATGGCCATGGAAGTCAGTAGTGACCTCTCTGGTGTCAATCGTGTGATCTGTTCTCAGACCTCATCCTACTTGGCCCATCATTGGCATCTGATGCTGTTCATTCTTCTACCCTGTTGACACACTTTCTTCTCTAGTTTCTGAATCACTATTCTCGTCGTTCTCTGAATGTTCTAAATACTTCACTGACTGATACTTCTCTGTGTCAATTGCTAGTTCTTTTTTAGCTCCTTTACTGCTAAACAATGACCAGTGTTTCCAACTAGCCAAGTTGGAATTTACTAAGGCTGGGTCTGTGGATGTCTCTTTTCATCTACAGCCATCTCCTGGGTGACCTTATTTAGTGTCCTGGCTTTAAATATCATCAATATCCTGATGCCTCAAATTTCTTTCTCCAGTTCAGATTTCTCCCTGAGCTCCAGATTCCTTTTGCTTTTTCAGAGTTGGGGCCTTCCTCTGTCACCCGGGCTGTAGTGCAGTGGTACCATCATAGCTCGCTGCAACCTTGAACTCCTAGGCTCAAGAGATCCTCCCACCTCAGCATCCCCAGTAGCTGGGACTAGGCACGCCCTGCCACACACAGCCACGGTCCTTTTTTAAATCTACCTTTGTACTCAAAAGCTCTGCTAAGAGGTTTTTTTTTTTTTTTTTTTTTTTGAGACGGAGTCTCGCGCTGTCGCCCAGGCTGGAGTGCAGTGGCCGGATCTCAGCTCACTACAAGCTCCACCTCCCGGGTTTACGCCATTCTCCCGCCTCAGCCTCCCAAGTAGCTGGGACTACAGGCGCCCGCCACCTCGCCCGGCTAGTTTTTTGTATTTTTTTTTAGTAGAGACGGGGTTTCATCGTGTTAACCAGGATGGTCTCGATCTCCTGACCTCGTGATCCGCCCGTCTCGGCCTCCCAAAGTGCTGGGATTACAGGCTTGAGCCACCGCGCCCGGCCGCTAAGAGGTTTAACAGGCGTTTGAGATTAATAGATCCAAAACTGAGTTCCTGGTTCCCACCCAATCCTGGTCCTTCCACCAACTTTCTTTTATCATAGATAATGGTGGCTCTGTTGTTCCACCTGTTCAGACAGAACACCTGGCGTCACCTTGTTCTCTTATTCTCCTAGTTCACGTCTAATTCCACAGAAGATCTGGTTTTCTCTACTTTGAGGTTCTTCAGAGTCTGACCACTTTTAGACCCTTCTGCTACTACTTCGGATCAGGCCAATGTCATCTCTCACAGCCTTACTGGGATTAGAGCAGAAACATGGGACACGATGCTTAGAATCTCAGAACTGGAAAAGATCTTTCAGATTATGTAGGCCAGTGGTTGTCTCCCTGCCCTCAGCCGGACCCAAGCTGTTCATGGAGTGCCCCTGGAACTGCTGCAGGGATGGGTGGGAAGTTGAGTGGGTGGGATTTAGGTGACTGTTTTCCATATCAGCAGTCTCAGAACTGCTTGACTTCTGTCTGTTTTACATATTTGGTTTCTGCACTAGATTTCTTTGAATAACAGGTTCCACTTTTTTTTTTTTTTTTTTTTTTTTTTTGAGACGGAGTCTCGCTCTGTCGCCCAGGCTGGAGTGCAGTGGCGCAATCTCGGCTCACTGCAAGCTCCGCCTCCCGGGTTCACGCCATTCTCCTACCTCAGCCTCCCGAGTAGCTGGGACTACAGGCGCCCGCCACTGCGCCCGGCTAATTTTTTTCTATTTTTTAGTAGAGACGGGGTTTCACCATGTTAGCCAGGATGGTCTCGATCTCCTGACCTCGTGATCCGCCCGTCTCGGCCTCCCAAAGTGCTAGGATTACAGGCTTGAGCCACCGCGCCCGGCCCCACTTTTTAAGATAATTTACAAACTGTTTATTGCAATTGAACTCTCCTCCCCTAAGGCACTGACCTGATTTGATGACATCAGAATCTTTCTCCCGTGCCCCTGCAGTCTCTCCTATGTGACAGGTTTTCTGTGGTTGTACCTGAAGGCCAACTAGTTGCCAGGCTGTCTTATCTGGCCTGCCCACTGGTACCAGAATGATCTCTAACACAGCCCATGCACAAGACCCAAGTATCAGTGAGCCTCTGTGTTCAGTGAAGGAGACTGAGCTTTGATCTAAAAGGCTGCAGAGTGATGGGGCCATCAACTTGTTTTTTTTCTTTTTTTTTTTCTTGAGACAGAGTCTTACTCTGTCACCCAAGCTGGAGTGCAGTGGTGTAATCACAGCGCACTGCAGCCTCAACCTCCCCAGGCTCAGGGGATCCTCCCACCTCAGCCTCCTGAGTAGCTGTGACTATAGGTGTGTGTAGCCTTGCCCAGGCTGGTTTTGAACTCCTGGGCTTTAAGCAGTCCCCCTGCCTCAGCTTCCCAAAGGACTAGGATTACAGGCAGTAGCCACTGTGCCCAGCCAAGCTTGTTTTTTAATTTTTCTTTTTTTTTTAAAAATTTTGAGACAGAGTCTTGCTCTGTCACCCAGGCTGGAGTGCAATGGTGCAATCTCAGCTTATTGCAACCTCCACCTCCCGGGTTCAAACGATTCTTCTGCCTCAGCCTCCTGAGTAGCTGGGATTTCAGGCGTGCGCCACCACGCCTGGGTAATTTTTGTATTTTTAGCAGAAATGGAGTTTCACCATGTTGGTGAGGCTAGTCTCGAACTCCTGACCTCGTGATCCGCCCACCTTGGCCTCCCAAAGTGCTGGGATTACAGGCGTGAGCCACCGTGACCAGCCTCCCAGCTTGTTTTTTTTGATACCACCTTCATGGTGGTTTTGGAATGGACAGAGGCAGGGATTCCTTTAAGTTGGCTGTCACTTTTAGTTAGGACTCACCTATAAGCCTGTGGTCCTGGGCCCAGAGAGGAGAAAGCAGTGGGAACATATTGATAGAGTAGAGAAATCTGTTGGCTGATTGGCTGTACAAGGTCTGAGGAGAAGGTTGAGGTCTCCCAAAGACTTCTGTAGAGATACTTGATGAGAGGCGCCATGAGGACAGGTGTTGCTTGGGCCTATAGCTATGACTCAGGACATCACTGCTCAGCAACCTGAAGCCCACATCCACAGTTCATGTCATGCTGGCAACTGAAGGGGTACCAGAGCCCAAAAGTCCAGAGGGGCTCGGTACAGGGAGCAGATGTCCATGAGCAGGAGAGACAGAGGCTATAGGGATTGATGAGACTTGGTAAGCACGACATGCTCTTCTCAGCGTAACATCTTTGAGCTCACACAATAATTGATGTAGAATTGTCCATTTCAGTAAGGAGCTTCCACGTCCACTGTCTTCCACAATTTTCACAAGGGCCTTGAGTAAATGTTACCTGCATGTTATGGGTAAGAAAGAGGTAGTTTGGAGAGCTGAAGGGATTTGGTGAAGGCCACATAATTAGTAAGCCTGAAATCAAGGACCAGACCCCCAGGCTTCTAAATGTTAGTCTTGGGCTGCATGTTTCATGGGACCATTGTCATCCCTTGTACTGAGAAGGAAAGCTGATGAAAATCGGGAAGAACCTATTTGAACAGGGAAGGGAGATGGATGTGGGTGGTGGAGCCTCCACATAGTTCCTGTATCTCGAGAACCTTGTGAGGTTTGCTTTCCAGTTCCTTCAGTACGTCACGTCCCGCTGGCCAGGGTGGAGTAGAGCACATGTTTTTCCTTCCCTTTAACTGATATTTCCATGATGGCAGCGTAATAAAAATTAAATTTTTTAGAAAGTATTTACTATTTTTAGAAAGAAGTTTTCCCATTTCCGGAAGTTAGCCAAGATGAACTTAATGAAATCAATCAGTTCTTGGGACCCGTGGAAAAATTCTTCACTGAAGAGGGTACGTATGGTTTTCTTTACTATTGCGTATTTCCACTGTAAGGGCGATTCGGTTGATATTTATATTAGAAGCGGCATACATAGGGGAAGTCTTCTTGAGGGAGAAATGGTTTCCACTCATCATAATTTGCTTTAGGTTTCATCCCTGTTGCCATTTAATTAAAAAACATCCAGTTAAATGCTTCTCATTGTATTTGTGGTGAAGGACCACTTTAAACATTTCCAAACTGTTCCAGGCCAACACTTCCATAAGCTGTAATAAAAATGAATAACTAAAAAAATGAGATGGCAAAAAGCCAAGGCCACACACCGTACAAGCCCCTGGAGCATGTGCTGGTTGTTGTGGCAGTGTACAATTGCTCTTAGTGTTTCTAAAGGTTGAGTTTCAATTTCTGTACTTTGGTAATTGTAAACAAATAGTGATTTGTGGACCAGCGACAGTGTGGCACCTGCATGGTGAGGCAGCATTTGACCTCAGGTCCCTCTCTCAGAGCTGTTGGCCAGTCCTCCAGCCAGGGCCTTGGTGGAGAGTTCAGTGATGGTGGATAGACAGCAGCTCTTCCCTAACACTAGGATCCTGGAGAGCTTTTGTTTATGTGGATTTTATCTATCAATATTTGCCCTCTTAGGGATTATTTTATTTTTATTTTACTTTATTTTTTCAAGAAAGGGCCTAGCTGTGTGGCTCAGACTGGAGTGCAGTGGTATCATCTCATCTCACCACCACTTCCGTCTTCCAGGCTCAAGCAATCCCCCGACTTCAGCCTCCTGAGTTGTTGGAACTACAAGTGCACACCCCCATGCCCAGCTAATTTTTTTGTATTTTTCATAGAGACAGGTTCTCACTATATTGCCCAGGCTGGCCTTTACTCCTAGGCTCAAGTGATCCTCCCACCTTGGCCTCCCAAAGGGCTGGGATTACAGGTGTGAGCCACCATGCCTGGCCCCTCTTAGAAATTAAAACTGAGAAATTTAAAATATACTGTGGGTCTGGGCACAGTGGCTCACGCCTGTAATCCCAGCACTTTTGGAGGCCAACGTGGGCGGATCACCTGAGTTCTGGAGTTCGAGACCAGTGTAGCCAACATGGTGAAACACTATCTCTACTAAAAATACAAAAATTGGCCAGGCATGGTGGCGTAGTGGCGGGTGCCTATAATCCCAGCTACTCAGGAGGCTGAAGCAGGCGAATTGCTTGAACCCAGGAGGCAGAGATTGTAGTGAGCCTAGATTGCGCCACTGCACTCCAGCCTGGGCGACAGAGTGTGACTTTGTCTAAAAAAAAAACAAAAAAGGCCGGGCGCGGTGGCTCAAGCCTGTAATCCCAGCACTTTGGGAGGCCGAGACGGGCGGATCACGAGGTCAGGAGATCGAGACCATCCTGGCTAACACAGTGAAACCCCGTCTCTACTAAAAACACAAAAAACTAGCCGGGCGAGGTGGCGGGCGCCTGTAGTCCCCGCTACTCGGGAGGCTGAGGCAGGAGAATGGCGTAAACCCGGGAGGCGGAGCTTGCAGTGAGCTGAGATCTGGCCACTGCACTCCAGCCTGGGCTACAGAGCAAGACTCCGTCTCAAAAAAAAAACAAAAAAAAAAACAAAAAATACTGTGTTCATTTGTTTAAAAATAATAAATCCATTACATGTTAACATAAACAGTATTTTTTTTTGTCTTTTTTTTTTTTTTTTTTTTTTTCCTTTTTGTGGAGAACGGGGTCTCGCTATATTACCCAGGCAGGTCTCGAACTCCTGGGCTCAAGCTATCCTCCCACCTCTGCCTCCCTGAGAGCTGGGATTACAGGCGTGAGCCACCGTGCCTGGCCAACAGTATTTTTAATGAAAAATATTTTGAAAAATAATTAGGCCGGGCACAGTGGCTCATGCCTGTAATCCCAGCACTTAGGGAGATGAAGGTGGACGATCACCTGAGGTCGGGAGTTTGATACTAGCCTGACCAACATGGAGAAACCCCGTCTCTACTAAAAATACAAAATTAGCCAGGCATGGTGGCGCATGCCTGTAATCCCAGCTACTCAGGAGGCTGAGGTAGGAGACTCGCTTGAACCCGAGAGGCAGAGGTTGCCATGAGCTGAGATTGTGCCACTGCACTCCAGCCTGGGCAACAGGAGCAAAACTCCGTCTCAAAAAAAAAAAAAAAAGAAAAGAAAAAGAAAAATAATTCGTGGAAAGAGTGGTATTGGTTAAAAGTTGTGCAAGTCCTTTTAATGTTTGGCTTATTAGAAGACAGCTGGATTCTCATACCTGTTTGTGCACGTAACCTCTGGAAAAGTCCACTGTGCTGGCCTTTTTTTTTTTTTTTTTTTACTGTCTTTTTTTATAATCTTCACACATGCATTTTTTTTGTTTATTTCTAAGATAGTCTTGCCCTGTCACCCGGGCTGGAGTACAGTGGTATGAACTCAGCTCACTGCAACCTCTGCAGCTGAAGTGATTCTCATGCCTCAGCTTCCTGAGTAACTGGAATTACAGGCACGTGCCACCACACCTGGCTAGTTTTTGTATTTTCAGTAGAGAATGGGGTTTTACGGCCGGGCGCGGTGGCTCAAGCCTGTAATCCCAGCACTTTGGGAGGCCGAAACGGGCGGATCACGAGGTCAGAAGATCGAGACCATCCTGGCTAACACGGTGAAACCCCGTCTCTACTAAAACTACAAAAAAACTAGCCGGGCGAGGTGGCGGGCGCCTGTAGTCCCAACTACTCGGGAGGCTGAGGCAGGAGAATGGCGTGAACCCGGGAGGTGGAGCTTGCAGTGAGCTGAGATCCGGCCACTGCACTCCAGCCTGGGCGACAGAGCGAGACTCCGCCTCAAAAAAAAAAAAAAAAAGAGAGAATGGGGTTTTACCATGTTGGCCAGGCTGGTCTTGAACTCCTGGCCTCAAATGATCTGCCTGTAATCCAACGTGCTGGGATTATAGGTGTGAGCCACTGCACCTGGCCTGACACATGCATTTTTTTTTTTTTTTTTTTTTTGAGACAGAGTCTCACTCTGTTGCCAGGCTGGAGTGCAATGGCATGGTCTCGACTCACTGCAACCTCCACCTCCTGGATTCAAGCGATTCTCCTGCCTCAGCCTCCCAAGTAGCTGGGATTACAGGCACGCGCCACCATGCCTGACTAATTTTTGCATTTTTAGTAGAGACAGGGATTCTCCATGTTGACCAAGCTGGTCTTGAACTCCTGACCTCGTGATCCACCCGCCTCGACCTCCCAAAGTGCCGAGATTACAGGTGTGAGCCACCGCGCCCGGCCTGACACATGCGTTTAAAGCAAGAAACACACACTTCCAGGACATAGGGCTCTGTCAGCAATAACTGTCATCTTCTTATTTGCAGAGATGTAAATATACAAGAAACCAGCCGGGCATGGTGACTCACACTGGTAATCTTAGCACTGTGGAAAACTGAGCGGGGCAGACTGCTTAAGTCCCAGAGCTTGAGACCAGCCTGGGCAATGGAGCGAAACCCTGTCTCTACTAAAAATACAAAATATTAGCTGGGCATGGTGGTGCATGCCCGTAGTCCCAGCTACTCAGGAGTCTGAGGTGGGAGAAGCACCCAAGCCTGGGAAGCCAAGGCTGTAGTGAACTGTGTTCATGCCATTGCGCTCCAGCCTGGGCGACAGGAGTGAGACCCTGTCTCAAAAAAAAACAAAAAAACAAAAAAAACAAAAAACGAGAAACCACTGCAAACCAAACCCACTCCCTCTGACAGGAACAAAGGTCTCTTGGAATAAATAGCAAATGCTGGAATAAAAGCTGTGTTCATTGAACTGCCATGATGTGAATTCAAAAAGGAAGTTAAATCCAAGGGCAAAGCAGAGAAAAGAACATACAAATATACACCTATTTCGTGTATATGCAAAGAGGAGGCTAATCACTGTGGACAAAGGGCCCTCTGGAACCACAGCTGTAGTCAGCTAGTAGTGCCACGGAAATAGAGGCATTGTCGGCTAGAAACAGAAAAATCACATCCTCCCACAATTGGCCTCTATCAAAACCAACCAGGACAGACAGCCCTTCCCCAAAAGTAATGGCCGAGAATAAAAGCACAAATATTGCTGGAAATCCAAGTAGCCTTTTTTACTGCTTTGAGTAACTTACATGCAAACCTAAGAGATTTTTCCGAATCCTTGATCAAGTTTTATTCATGTAAAGCCCATACATAAATTCTGGGGAACATGGTACTTGGGCTCCATATTGGACTCTGAGCCAAAACGTTAAATACACTACACTGCACCCCACTGTACAGTCTTCGGAGAATTAGAATTTAAAAGCAAATAACATCTTGAATTGTTTTAAGCCAGGTGTGGTGGCCCATGCCTGCAATCCCAGCACTTTGGGAGGCCGAGGCGGGTGGATCACTTGAGGTCAGGAGTTTGAGACCAGCCTGGCCAACATGGTGAAACCCTGTCTCTACTAAAAATATGAAAATTAACTGGGTGTGGTGGCACACACCTGTAATCCCAGCTACTGGGGAGGTCGAGGCAGGAGAATTGCTGGAATTCGGGACGTGAATGTTGCATTGAGCTGGGATCGCGCCACTGCACTTCAGCCTGGGTGACAGAGCGAGACTCCATCTCAAAAAATAAAAATAAAAAAACATAAAAAATAAACTAGTTTTGACCCTGTGGGACCCCCTAGAAGCAGCTCAGGTCCCCCAGAACCTCTTTGAGAAGTGCCAGATCGTCAACTGTCATTACATTGCTTTGTTTTTGTTTCTTATTTCACGCCTGGTGATCACAAAGTATATGTTGCTAGTTTTAAAAGTTGCTTATTTGTATATAAACAATTTATAATTTAGAAATACTTATTTCTGCTTTTTTTCCAGTGGTTATCCTCCTGTTTGTATCTTTTTTTAGTTCCCATGGTCTCTTGTTCTTTTATTTAAACTTTTCCTATGTGGTCTGTCAGGTTTTTTTTTTTTTCAGGACTAATTAAGATATAATTGATTTACAATAAATTGTACAGACTGTCATGTGTCA